ATACTTTACACTCATAATGTAATTCCAAAACAATTATTTTTCATCTTATTCAGATCCATTAAATTCATGGATCACTTCATTTGTAACTATTAATATTCCACATTCTCACATCCCAGCACTTACCTGCATTGTACCCTACTGTTCCACTTTTTTGTCTGTGATTTCTGCAAGTGTTCAAGGAATAGTAGGCTACCGTTTTTTTACATAAAGAAGAGTTCCTTTAATGTTTGTGCATATCTGGACACATTAATATTATTTAAGCTACAGAGACATACAAAAAAAATTACAGTTTGATTTGTTAAAAATTAATCATCTGTTTTTAAAACTAACAATTCAATGATTTTCAGTGTTTGAGTGCTTTTAGTAGACTCAAAATTTAACACACATTCATCTTAACTTTTCAAGGTACAAATTTACTTCACATACATAAAGTGCTATGTTCTGAAGCAGCAACAGCAATCACCCATGACAGAAAACATGAAATACAAACACCATTACCAACATACAGGTCACAAAAAACGATTCAGGTTTGTCTACTTTTCAGTTGTAGTGCTACTAATTGAACTATTACAGTACATGTTTGGGTTTTTACCAGGAAATGAACCAGTCATGATTCTCTCAACTGAGCAATGAAGAAGGTAGCATAATGTTTTGTCAAACCACACTTATTGGTCCTTTCAAGCTTCTCATTTCGGTTCCGTATTGGTTCTGTTTTTTTAACCTCTTTGGTTCATTTTTTGTTTTGTTTGTTTTTTTTCTTTTTGCATGGTGAGCAGATCAAAAAAAGGAAAGAAGAGGGGGGCAAAGAGATAACGTAGAAAGAGTACAGACTTGCTGATTGTGTGACATTACTTCAGTGTCACAGACAGAGGGCAGTAGGTTGTACATCTGTATGTACTGTATGTATAAGCTGAAGCTGCAAGAGGTGTTGAAACATAGACCTATGAAAAAGGAAACGGGTGAACACAGCTACTTAAATAAGTGTCCACTCATTTAAAGCAGTAAAATTAAGTTTTTCTGAGAGAAATTTGAGAGAAAATCAATTCAGAATTTTGAAAACATAAGATAAACCCTCTACTGCATCTTTTTTTTTTTTTTTTTTTTTTTTTGAGATAGTGGCACTCTTGTTTTGCACTGAGAGAAAAGGTATGAAAATAACATAATTAAATTGTGGGAAAAGGTCACTCGTGAACAAGACCCCGAGATACTTAAACTCCTTCACTTGGGGCAGGAACTCGTCCCTGACCCGGAGTCGGCACTCCACCCTTTTCCAAAAATTCTATAAATGTTAACCGATGAAAGTCAGACACTGATTTCAACCATGCTCCAAGGGAATTATTTAAAAAATAAATGCATGAAACAGGCCTGGACAAAAATGATGGGACCCCTAGAAAATAATGTGACCAAAGAGACATGGTCATCCAAGGTATGTCCACTAATTAGCATCACAGGTGTCTACAATCTTGTGATCAGTCAGTGGGCCTATATATAGGGCTCCAGGTAATCACTATGTACATGGTATCTACCACACTCAACATGGACCAGAGAAAAAGAAGGAAAGAATTGTCTCAGGAGATTAGAAAGAAAATCATAGACAAGCATGTTAAAGGTAAAGGCTAGAAGACCAATGTACAAGCAGCTCGATATTCCTGTGACTATAGGTACACATGCTATTCCAAAATTTAAGATCCATGGGACTGTAGCCAACCTCCCTGGATGTGGCCACAGGAGGAAAATTGATGACAAATCAAAGAGACGGATAATCTGAATGGTAACAAAAGATTCCAGAAAGACTTCTAAAGAGATCCAAGGTGAACTTCATGCTCAAGAAATATCAGTGTCAAATCGCACCATCCATCGTTGTTTGAGCCAAAGTGGACTACATGGGAGACGACCAAGGAGGTGTTGACAAATCAGTTTTACCCCGGTTCTTTTATTCGTCGAGGCATCCAGAGACGGCACCGGAACTCAGTAGTTATTTTCACAAAACCTTTATTCATCTTTATTCATCTTCATTTAAGCATGCACTTCTAGAAGGGAAGACGAGGCCGGTGTCCCTCTCCAAAATCTTCACCCCTTTGTTAGTTACAGTCAGCTTTATAGAAGCGACCCCATCATAAAACCCCCTACGGTGTGCTGCAAACTCTGTCTGTGTCTATGTGCACGAGCACATGAATGCCTACATGTGCGCGTTCCCGCGTGTCTATGTGAGTGCTCGTGTGTGACTGTGTACGCATACCTGTGTGTATGTGTGAGTGCACATGAGTGAGTGTGCGTGTGGATGTGTGTGCGTGACAGTTAAAACACTGTGGGTGTAGGTAACTCCCTAGGTCATAAAACCCATCTCCCTTCCAGACCACAGTTATCCAGTTACAAATGTTGAGACCCCCACCCAAACATTCTCTGGGAAATTTCCACTCAGCTCTCTGTTTTACTTTCACAATTCAAGTGGGGGAGGGGTCTCCTACCATCTACTCCTAAGTTCACGACACAGTGAGGCCTTTATTATATTAAGGGCAGTATCTCTACAATAGTTCTACATTCTATGTTAACACATTTCTAAACTCTAAAATAAGCTAAACACTCCTACAGAGGACACCACTGTTGAAAACAAATCATAAAAAAGCCAGACTGGAATATGCCAAACTACATGTTGACAAGCCACAAAGCTTCTGGATGCTGAGATAATGTCCTGTGGACAGATGTGGTGAAAATTTAACTTTTTGCCAAGGTACATCAGCTCTAGGTTCACAGACAGAAAAATGAAGCATATCTAGAAAAGAAAACTGTCCCTACTGTGAAACATGGAGGAGGCTCTATTATGTTCTGTGGCTGCTTTGCTGCATCTGGCACACAGTGTATTGAATATGTGCAGGGTACAAGGAAATCTCAAGACTATCAAGGGATTCTAGAGAGAAATGTGCTGGCCAGTGTCAGAAAGCTTGGTCTCTGTCACAGTCATGGGTCTTGCAACAGGACAATGACCCAAAACACACAGAAACACCCAAGAATGGCTAAGAGGCGCCCTTCAAACCGGAAACAATTGGAGCCGTTTGGTCATGAGGAGTGGGCCAAAATACCTGCTGAGAGGTGCAGAAGTCTCGTTGACAGTTACAGGAATCATTTGATTTCACTGATTGCCTCAAAAGGTTGTGCAACAAAATATTGAGTTATGGGTACCATCATTTTTGTCCAGCCCTTTTCCATGCATTTATTTTTTTAAATAATTCTTTTGAAGCATGGTTGAATGTCTGACTTTCATCGGTTAACATTTATAGAATTTTTATTTATTATTACTTTTGTGAGATTAAAGTCATTTCTGTGACCATTATGAGTTGTTTTTTTTTTCATTGACTGAAGGGTACCAACAATTTTGTCCACATCTGTAAATGTAAGTGGTCTCAGTAGAAAAGACGCTATAAAGAAACCATTCTTAAGGTAAGGGAAACTGAGAGAAACTAAGGATCTTGAACTTGGAAGACATGACAAGAGCTAACGCAGAGAACGTGACAACAAACCGGAGAAAACTGAAGACTTAAATACACAGACAGGAAAACGAGAGAATGGGGAACAGGTGGGATAAATGTGACATAACGAGACAAAGGGGAGGCAAAACTAAATACAGTGAACACAGGACAAGGACTATCAAAATAAAACAGGAAGCATGACAAATAATGAGATGTGGACGCAGACACACAAGCTTAACACTGAGAACAGGGAGAGAGACAAACATGGGGGATTGACTGATCTGGAAAGACAGAGAGGGAACATGGAACACGGAAACACAAGAAATGTGAAACACAGGGACAGAAACCTAAAAACTAAAAACTATAACATAAGCACAAAACAATTAAGAGAAGTAAAATCACGAATGACACTAAATCAAAGAATATTAACCAAACTCAAAAACACATAAACACTGTGTTACCAGACCCACAACTATGATACTTCCTCCATCTAAAGTCATGTCACATGGATGTTACCAGGGTGTAAATTGTAAATGATGAATCCACTTACATCAGGACAATGTTCAAAATATCTAGTATATAGCAATGTGAAAAAGTACACTCTTATTGCCTAAGAATTAAGAGGTTAAGTAGTAGCCAAGTGATGCTAATCAGTTTTTGGAAAACTAAATTCAGTGTCACTAAACACACTCAGGCCTGATTAATGGCAGAACTGGTGATTCACTTAAAGAGAACCTGTCTGCCAAACTGAAGTAGGCTAAGATCTCAAAAGGCAACAAACCATGCCACGATCTAAAAAAACCCCCCAAAAAAAACCACACCTGAGAAACAAAGTCACTTGCATCTATTATTTTGTAAAGGGTTACAAACATTTTTTTAATACTTTGGGATTAGGTGAACCACAGTGAGAGCCATTATACACACATGGAGAAAAGCTGAAGTTTCCCAAGAATGACCAGCCAGCCGACATTACTCCAAGAGCGCACCAAGAGTAATGTCACAAAAGAACCCAGAACAGCATTAAAGAACTCCAAGCTTCACCTGTCTCAGTGAAGGTCAGAGTTCATGATTTGACAAAACAAAGAGACTGTGGAATAAATAGCATCCATGGGAGAGTTCAAGGAGAAAACCACTGCTGATCAAAAAGAATACAAAGGCTTCTCTGACATCTGTGAAAAAACAAATGAAATTGAGAAGTGTATACACACACACACACACACACACACACACACACACACACACACACACACACACACACCTATGCACTTATAATTAGTGTTACATGCATCTGGTTTCATGTGGTTCATGTGACATATGCTTTCAGGTGCATTTACAGGCATCCAATCGTAAGTGGGAAGCATGTGATCAGTGACCTTTAGAAGATATGGGTTATCATACAGGTGCCAATGTGTATGGACAAAGAGGACAGACACTATATACTGTAGTTAAAAGCGTCTTGATGTTCTTCCTTATTGCATGTAATAGGAATCCATGTACATATGTGAAGGTCTGTCAAACTGACTTGGTGTTCATCTCTTTATTGTTTCAACCGCTACAAAGAAAACACATCATTACTGCAGTCAGTCTGACTAGACAAACAAAAAAATACAGAAAAAATTGCTTTTGTTTTCTCCGTCGCTGCCACAACTGTACACAAGCCCATACAGACTATACACTTATGGCTACTGTTTTTTACAACCACGTGACATTTGTGAAGTTTGAAAAAATGGCCATTGGTAATTTAATACCAAAGTCTATTTATCTGTATGATTAGCTGTGTTGCACAGTGTGATAAAGGGGATGTTAACTAATCTGCCTATAAATGGTTTAAATGCATTCAAATAGATTGGCATCTCATTTAAGACTTACATGTACTGTGTTAGTTCATGTATTCTCCTCTTCTTTGAGACTTCTGCCATTTTTACCTGGCTATAAATAGTTTCACATTTTCAAGACTGTAGAATATTTTTAAAGTTAAAGAGCACTGCACTGGTTTTATTATACACAAATCCAAAGCAGTTAGAGTACAATTAAACAAAAACAAAACCAACAACAAACAAACAACCTTTATTTGTCACATGCACAATCATACAAGATGCAGTGAAATGCTTGTGCGGACACATTTACTGATTCAAAAACCATTATATATGATAAAAAGAAACATATACACGTGTAATGTAATGTTATTAATGTAATAACATTACAAACTAAATATTGCAGATATTTCACAATATTCTGCAGGCACATACACTCATTGGTTCTCAGCTGAGTCTACCCACTTTGTTGGTATGTCTGTAAACTCTGTGTATTTCATTTTCTCAAAAATAAGACTTTGAAAGAATAAAAATTGGGTTAACTAGCTCTGTTAATTCAAATTAAGATAAAATTTGAATTATCTTTAAGTTAGACCACAATATCATTCAGCAACCAGCCTCTCGTGTGTAAAGTGAGCTACATGTGAGTGAACAGATCCATATGCTTTCTGATTAATATGTTTCTCTCTTGGTCAGAGTAACATGAACATCCACATTTTGCACACATGGTACATCAGTGACCTCTGTTGATCATTATAAATACAGTTATTGGTTTTCTTCAGCTCTGGGTGTTTGTTGTTGGACTGTAGAATTGGGCTTTGCAGCTCTGTCCACCTGAGCATACACTGTCTCTGGCTGGGGGATGTTTTCAGTCTTAGTGGATTTTTGTCCAGTGTGAAACTCCACCAAAGCATAAGTAGATGTTGGAGAATTACATGATTCATGTCCTGCGGGAGTCTGATTTTGAGTCTGGCCTGGAATGATGTCCTGGAAATAAACCAAAAGTGCTTTGTTAGGAAAATGTCATAGTCATGATTACTTTATCTTACATGTGTTATACAATAATAAGCCAGGAAGTCTGAATGCAAGAAAATATCACAAACGGTGATGTCTAAATGTGACAAGAACAAGCATAAGGTTGGATCCGCATAAGCAAACTAGATGGAACAGTTGGTGTAGAAAGGAGATGGGGTTGATTTTAGAAAGTAGTTTGTGAAACAGTTTTGTTCATGTGTAGTTGCAGACTTTAGTCCAGTTAAAAATTTAAAGGATTTTGTACAGAAACAAATCTGTTTTCAATAATTTAATTACTCACAATTAAACCATTTGTTCCTACAGTTTGACTAGCAAAGTGGGAGAGGTTCTTCTTCTGGTTTTTTTTTTTTTTGGTTTGTTTTTCCAAAAAAAGTTTCCGCTTACCTCAGGAACCGCATATATAGTATTTTCCTGGTTCCCTCCTTTACTTTTACCTGTAAGTCAGTCATAGAAAATATAGATTGACTTGCTTGAAATTTAAGTTCTTGCAGGATAAATTTTATTTCCTTATTAAAGTGTTACATTTACATCTTCTACTAGGTGATTTTTTTAGTACATAAAAAACGACCTCACTGTAGCCAAACAGAAGTGATATATTGGACTAATACAATAATATTTATTCCCGATTTTCTATCTTAACGCATGCTAGTTAAACAGAATTTTTTGATAAAAACCCTGTTCTGTCAGTAGACTGTAAACAGATCAGTCTGCTTTTAAAAAAAAAAGTGAGAGAGAAAAATAAACTCATCCCTCTTTGCAGTCAAAGTTAATTTGATATTTTTATAGCTTTCATTAAGTGTGAAAAAACATGCCTATGGAACCTGTCATAGTCCCACACACACACACACACACACACACACACACACACACACACACACAGACAAGAACAGCAGCCATACTATTGTAATGACAAAACTGTACCCCCACATAGTCACAGAATATACACTACATATCAATTTAACACTGACATTTATCATCTTTTATAATATTTGAGTAGTTTGAGGTATATTTATGATATATTTATAGACAAATTGCATCTTTACATAGATAATGCAAATTTCAATTGTCTTTAATGGGTGGTGGACATCAAGGTTGCCTTTGAATTGTTGTAACCATCATTACACGACCTCCTAAAGCTAACAAAACAATGTTTACTGTTCCAATGTTTTCCAAGTCTATACTTTAACATGTACACTGGTACAGCTAGGGACAAAATTAATTCAAGAATTTCCTTCTGAACACTTCCCCGTTGTTGGAGCCAAGTCCAGGCCAATAATTTCACTCAGTTACATCATGCCATATTTAAGTATTTGTCATGATCTTTAAGTTTCCATTATAATCTTGATCATTTTATGTTATAATGTAATATGCTGTGGTCCATAAATTAATCCTGCTTTATTAGTCTGTTGTTGTTGTAAAGTGTTGGTAGATGTCGTAAAGGGGTGTGTATTTGGCCCGCATGCGGAGGGGTGTGGGTAAAAAAGGTTAGGTAAGCAAGCAGGACGTGGAGCAACAGTTTTTCTGACCGTCGCCGTTTTAATGTTATTTTTTGGTTGTAACATAAAGGAAATATAAACGGAGCGCCCACCAGAGGCATTTGTTTTGTACCTTTCGATTTGTTTGGAAAATAAATGTTTTGCCCCTTTTCTCCTTCGCCTCGTTTTTTTTTGCTACCGGAAGGCATCCAAGCGACTGAACAAGAGCACGAGTCAGAAACTTTACGTTCTGCAGAAGCGGCAAAGAAGGACCGAAGGCTGTCGCTACAATAGTCAGAAAACTGCTCCGAAAGTGAGAGGATTACGCACGCGTCACCGGCGCACAGAGTTAATCGGCCCGCGGCGCGGCAAGGGAAAACGGGACGTGAAAGAGGATGCGCTTAAGTCTTCCCGTGTTTTCCGGATCCTTTCGGCAGTAAGAAAACCCCGCATCTGAAAAGTAAGAGGCTGTGCCTGCTTTACGGTTTGTGAAAATTCCTGTATGGTTAAGTGGTACATGGCCTGTGTAAAGGATTAATTGCATTGAAAGGTTTATGCCAGCGCAATTAATATGGAGCAGCAGGAAAAAAGAGTTTCCAAGCCAACTTTTAAAGCACAAGAGGAAAAGCTTCAGCATCTTAAAGTGACAAGGAAAACCAAGTTGGGTTACCTTACTAGAAAGATAAAAGAGATTGAGGAGCTTATGGAAGATGACGGCAATTTTGAGGAAGTGGCTGTTAAATTAGCCACTGACTTCTCAAAAATATATATTGAGTTTTGTGAAAACAACGATGCAGTTAAAAATCACTTGACTGAGTCGGAACTTCTTCATGATCAGACACAGTGGTATGAGCCAAAGGCTAGCTATTTGAGAAGTTTTGTGGAGAAAGTAGAGAGATGGTTAAAACGAGTGGAAATGCAAGCAGATGAAGCAAGAATGGTTGATGTTGAAGTTGAGCCTGCAGACAGTGCTTCAGCAATTTCGTCCAGACGCAGTAAAGCACATCGAAGCAGTCGAACCTCTTCTGTTGTGTCTTCGACCACATATTTTGCCAGGCTAAAGATTGAGGCAGAGAGGGCTGCTCTGGTAGCACGTGCTGAGGCATTAAAGCAAAAGATGGAGATTGACAGACAAGAAGCTGTTCTTAAGGCAAAAAGGGAGGAATGGGAGTTGCAAACAGCTATTGCTGCAGCTAACGCAAAGCTTGAGGTGCTGACTGTGAAGGAGCCAGCCCATAACACTTCTGCTGACTTGGTCAACAAAATGGCTACCTGCCAAAGAGCTCCGGGCCAAAGTATTGGGGCCAGTTTTGGTTTGGTTCAGCCAGAACATGGAGATGTCGGTCGAGAATGTGAGTCGGAGGTAATGCAGGGCTCAGAAAGGAGTAGCAGGCTTCCTCATCCATTGAATAAGAAGGATAATAGCCAGTCTATTACTAGTCAAGGCAGGATGGCTGATGTTAAAGACTTGTTGGATGTCATGAAGCGACAAAATGAGATTACAGAGCTCCTAGTAAAACAACAGAAAGCATCCACTCTCCCTCCTTTGGATGTTCCAGTATTCAGTGGGGATCCACTGGAGTTTGGGTTTTTTATGAAAGCGTTCGAGCATGGGATTGAGGAAAGGACAGACAGCAATAGAGATAGGTTGCGCTTCCTGGAGCAGTTCACCCAAGGGAGACCCAAGGTTCTTGTTCGTAGCTGTTCGCACATGTATCCTGACAGGGGCTACGCTGAAGCTAAGAGGCTTCTGCGCAAGCATTTCGGGGATGAATATACTATTGCCTCAGCCTACATTGAAAGAGCTCTAAAATGGCCTGTAATCAAGCCAGAGGATGGTGATGCACTGACGGAGTTTGCTATGTTCCTCACTAGTTGCTGTAACACAGTAGACAGCATGGAGTACATTGAGGAGATGGATAGCCCTACTAATATGAGAACAGTCATCTCCAAGCTTCCTTTTAAATTAAGGGAAAGGTGGAGGGGTTTCGCCTGTGACATTCAAGAACGTACAGCAATGAGAGCTAGATTCGCTGATCTGGTCAGTTTTGTAGAGAAGCAGGCAAAGATCGCTTCTCACCCATTATTTGGCAACATTCAGGACACCACTTTGTCTAGAGACAAGGGCAAAGCAAAGGTGTGCAGAGAGAATGCTCTGAAATTCAAGGAGAGGGAAAGCATCTTTGCTACTAATACAGCACCTGTATTAAACAGTGCAGAGCAGACAAAGAGGGAAAGGGAAAATATAGGCCCTACAGGTGGAAGACAGTGTCTTTTCTGTCATAAGGGAGGGCATAACCTCAGTACCTGCAGACTCCTCAAGCAAAAGCCTCACAGAGAAAGGCTTGATTTCCTCAAATCAAAGAGCTTGTGTTTTGGTTGCCTGTCACAGGGGCATCTGAGCAAAGGCTGCCAGCAAAGACACACGTGTGAGACTTGTTCTCAGAAACATCCCACCATTCTGCATAAGGAGCAGTACTCTTCTCCTGATAGTGACAGTAAAAGTATCAGAGAACCAGCAGCAAGTTTTTCTCCAGCAGCAGGCAGTGAAACATGCGGTTGTACCGGGGCTGGCAAAGCAGTCTGTGCACTCTCAATTGTGCCTGTGAAGGTCAGATGTTCAAGGAGCAACACAACAGTTGAATCATACGCGTTCTTAGACCCAGGAAGCACTGGAACCTTTTGTACAGATGAGCTGATGAAGGATTTACAGGTCACAGGAAAAAAGTCCAACATTCTGCTCCGCACTATGGGAAACGAAGCGACAATCAGTACTCATGTCGTTAAGGGTCTCGAGGTCAGTGGTTTGGATGAGGACAACTTTTTGAAGATTCCCCAGGTTTTCACACAGGCAGAGATTCCAGTAACAAAGGAGAACATTCCACAACAGAGTGATGTGGACAGATGGCCTTATTTGAAGGAGGTTCAGCTCAAGCAGATTGATGGAAAAATTGGAATGTTAATAGGGACGAATGTACCAAAGGCGCTTGAGCCCTGGAAGGTTATCAACAGTGAGGGCAACGGCCCATATGCTGTAAAAACTGCACTAGGCTGGACGATTAATGGACCTCTGCTAAGAGAAGAGGGTATTGCTCAAGGAGCTGTTGAGTGGCCACCGGTGATGGTGAACAGGATATCGGTGACAAAGCTAGAGGAGCTCTCGCAGCAGCAAATGAAGTACGACTTCCCTGAGCATGAGTTATCTGAGAAAATGGAAATGTCAGCCAGAGACAGACAATTTATGGAGTCTGTGTCACTGTCAGTGAAGCAGGTTCATGGTCACTACATCATTGGCCTTCCTTTAAAGAACAAGGGGGCTGCATTTCCAAACAACCGTGTTGTGGCGGTACAAAGAGCAGAAGGCCTGAAACGGAGGCTGTTAAGAGACAGTGAGTTTCATCAAGAGTACACAAAGTTTATGACAGAGACACTGGAAAGGGGCTATGCCGAAGAAGTTCCTGTGGCTGAAACTTGTAAAAGTGGTAGCAGAATATGGTATCTCCCGCATCATGGGGTCTACCACCCAACCAAGCACAAGTTGAGAGTGGTATTTGACTGTGCATCCACGTATCAAGGCATGTCACTGAACTCCCAGCTGTTGCAGGGGCCAGACTTAACCAATTCCCTCATAGGTGTTTTAATGAGGTTCAGGCAGGAACCAGTTGCCTTCATGTCTGATATTGAAGGCATGTTTCATCAAGTCAGGGTTCCCGATGAAGATGCTGATCTGTTGAGATTCTTGTGGTGGCCACAGGGAGATCTTGGTAAAGGCCTCAAGGAATACAGGATGGTAGTTCACTTGTTCGGTGCAACTTCTTCACCAAGCTGTGCATGCTACGCGCTGCAAAGGTGTGCTGAGGACAATCAGGCGAGGTTCAACCATGTTGCAACGAACACTGTTCTAAGGAACTTTTATGTGGATGATTGCCTGAAGTCTGTCAGCACTGAAGAGCAGGCAATCTCACTGATTCGGGACCTCAGGGCTTTGTGCGCTGCAGGAGGTTTCAAGCTCACTAAGTGGATTTCCAACAGCAGAGCGGTGCTTGCGTCTATACCTGAGGATGACAGGGCTAAAGAAGTCAAGGAGCTTGATCTTGAAAGGGACTGCCTCCCTATTGAAAGAGCTTTAGGGGTTCAGTGGTGCGTGGAGTCTGACACGCTGAAATTCAGAGTTCTGGTTGAGAGCAAACCACTCACAAGGAGAGGACTGCTTTCGATGGTAAGCACTATATATGACCCACTTGGGATTTTATCCCCTCTGATCTTGCCAGTGAAGCACATCCTGCAAGAGCTAAGCAGAACAAAGCATGCATGGGATGATTTCATGCCAGAAGCTCTGTCTCTGCAGTGGCAACAGTGGGTCGGCAGTTTACACCACTTAGCTAGGTTTGAGGTAGACAGATGTGTGAGACCAGTCAACCTTGGCAAGATCTCTTCGGCTCGACTTCATCACTTTGCCGATGCTAGTGAAAGGGGGTATGGCATAGCCACATATCTGGTTTCAAAAAACAATCTGAACCAGCCACATAGTGCTTTCATTATTGGTAAAGCCAGGGTTACACCATTGAAGCCAGTTACCATACCACGACTCGAGCTTACTGCTGCAGTGGTGGCAGCAAAGATGGACAGGATGGTAAGAGCCGAACTGGAGTTGGAGTTGGAGGAGTCTGTCTTTTGGACGGACAGCACGTCGGTGATTAAGTACCTCAAGAATGAAACAGCAAGGTTTCGTACGTTTGTTGCCAATCGAGTTGCTGCCATCAAGGATAGATCAGCTGTCTCTCAGTGGAGATATGTGAACACCTCGGCCAATCCTGCAGACTTTGCTTCAAGAGGGCTCAGTGTTGGTGCCTTTCTCAAGGCAAAGACATGGATCATGGGTCCAGATTTCATTTTGAAACCAGAAATGGAGTGGCCAGAAATGCCCGACAGTGTATGCCAGCCAATCTGTAATGACCCAGAAGTCAAAGAAGCATCAGTATATGCTCTTGTGGTTGAAGAAGCTGCAGACGCCACCTCTCAGCTCATTCATCATTACTCAAGCTGGCGTCGGGTTAAAAGAGCCGTTGCATGGGTCCTGAGATTAAAAGGTGTGCTGAAGCTTCTTGCTCGAAAGAGGAAGGGTTTAAAAGCGAATCTCTATGATGGAAGATTGGAGCAGGAGAAGCAAATGACACACTTCAAGGCTAACCTTCCCATCTTGCCACTTTCTGTGAGTGACATGGCCGAGGCGGAAGTGGAGATAGTGCGCTTCAGTCAAAGGCAGCGGTTTGGCAAAGAGATTGCCAAGCTGCAACAAGGAAAGACAGTGTCAAAGGATAGCCCTCTTTGTCAGTTGTCGCCAGTTGTACAGGATGGCATTCTGAGAGTGGGTGGCAGATTGAGCAGATCTAGCATGCAAGAGGAGTTAAAACACCCTGCAATCTTGGCTAAGGATCAGCATATAGCCACTCTCATTCTCAGATCTACTCACGAGGATCTTGGGCATTGTGGCAGGAATCATGTCCTGTCAAAGGTACGGCAGAAGTACTGGATACTAAGATCTCATGCTGCTGTCCGGAAGATTTTGTCCCGGTGCGTCGCCTGCAGACGGCATAATGGGAAAGCGGCAAGTCAGATCATGGCAGATCTTCCTACTGAAAGGCTCACGCCCGATGAGCCACCGTTCACAAGTGTCGGTGTGGACTACTTTGGTCCCTTCGAAATCAAAAGGGGTAGGTCCATGATCAAAAGATATGGTGTTGTTTTTACTTGCTTGACAGTGAGGGCTGTGCATATTGAGCTGGCAAATTCGTTGGACACGGACTCTTGTATTCATGCATTGCGGAGGTTCATTGCTAGGAGGGACAGGTTCAGTTGATGCGTTCTGACAATGGAACAAACTTTGTAAGTGCAGAGAGGGAGCTGCGGGAAGCAGTGCGTGCTTTGGATAATGCAAAGATTCAAGAAGCCTTGTTGGTTAAAGGCATCGCATGGATATTCAACCCCCCTGCTGCCTCGCATTTTGGAGGAGTTTGGGAGCGGCAGATACGGTCCATACGCAAAGTGCTCAGCTCCGTTGTGGAGCAGCAGATCCTTGATGAGGAGGGTCTGCACACACTGCTGTGTGAGGTAGAGGCGATTATCAATAGCCGCCCTATCTCAAGAGTCTCTACCGATCCGAATGACCTGGAGGCCTTGACGCCAAACCATTTGCTTTTGATGAAAGCCAAAACTCCACTACCTCCTGGAGTATTCAGCAGGAGCGACTTGTACTCAAGGCGTAGATGGCGGCAAGTCCAGTACTTGGCGGATTTGTTTTGGACACGGTGGATCAAGGAGTATCTGCCAGACTTGCAAAGGCGACAAAAGTGGGCCCAGCCACAAAGAAATATCAGTCAAGGTGATATTGTTCTCGTCGTGGATGATTCCGCTCCAAGAAATTCATGGCTAATGGGTCGAGTGATTCAGACGTTTGAGGATGCCAAGGGTCGGGTTCGTCAAGCCAAGGTGAAAACCAGCAAAAACATTCTCCTACGACCTGTGGCGAAGCTTTGTGTGCTGCTAGAGTGTGATATGTAGCGCCCCTTTTACATATTACTCAAGAGACAGCGGTAAAGGCTGGTCTCCTACGGCGAGTCATGTGCTTGAACCTCTGACTCCATTCCCTAATCTCCCCAACATACACACATACACGCATCCGCGAAGACATGTTCCAGCTTAAGAAGAGTTCCTGCTGTAACAAGACAAAATGAAGTTTCTGTTGGAATAAGGACATTAATGTGCCATATGAGCAGTTAAAGTACTTTGTATATTTGTCTGTTCGTTATCTGAAAGGTTTGATTTGTTGTTCTGAACAATATATAGATGTATGTATAAGAGTAATTGTTTTGTGGCTCACAAGAACAATTAGGGGCCAGGATGTTGGAGCCAAGTCCAGGCCAATAATTTCACTCAGTTACATCATGCCATATTTAAGTATTTGTCATGATCTTTAAGTTTCCATTATAATCTTGATCATTTTATGTTATAATGTAATATGCTGTGCTCCATAAATTAATCCTGCTTTATTAGTCTGTTGTTGTTGTAAAGTGTTGGTAGATGTCGTAAAGGGGTGTGTATTTGGCCCGCATGCGGAGGGGTGTGGGTAAAAAAGGTTAGGTAAGCAAGCAGGACGTGGAGCAACAGTTTTTCTGACCGTCGCCGTTTTAATGTTATTTTTTGGTTGTAACATAAAGGAAATATAAACGGAACGCCCACCAGAGGCATTTGTTTTGTACCTTTCGATTTGTTTGGAAAATAAATGTTTTGCCCCTTTTCTCCTTCGCCTCGTTTTTTTTTGCTACCGGAAGGCATCCAAGCGACTGAACAAGAGCACGAGTCAGAAACTTTACGTTCTGCAGAAGCGGCAAAGAAGGACCGAAGGCTGTCGCTACACCCGTCTTTGTTTTATAATTTTAATGGCTTTGTTGTTATTTATTTTTATTTAATATTGTTATTCATTTTTTATTTACAGCTTAAATCTCCCATTCCACAGTGAATCAACACAGTTACAAACACACTCACACAGAACATACACAAAATAGATCTTTACTGCTGTACTAAAGTATATCTTCATCTGGGCTCCTGCCATTACCTAATCATATGAGAAATGTGTATTTGTATAAACTGTGTGCTTAAATGCAAAATATAATTTTTGTGTACTTTACATATTACCTAATATTACCTACATATTACACTAAAAACAAATATTGGAACTTACATTTCATTATGACACAAAGGGTAATGAAGAGAATCAAGAAGACAACAGATGTCGAAGCTGCAATTATGGTGGCTCCACTGGGAGCTGTAATGAAATTAATTATATCACAGAAATTTTGGTTAAGTACTTGGATTTATTTGCAAAGAAGAAGAAAAAAGTATTATAGCAGTAAATCTTTTACTGATCACTACAATATTACATTTCACACCCCTGGCTGTGGCAGTTTGCTTAAGCAAGTTCTTTAAGAAGGCAATACAGATTTTTTTGACAACCATTCAGTCGGTGTTTAGTTCACACCTACATTCAATCATCAGCTGAGTTAACCCCATAAACTACATGTTTTTGGAGAAGTAGTTCGACATGGGGACAACATGCAAACATCACACAGCAAGGTCTTTAGAATCTGGTTATTTCAGTTTTTCATTCATTATGACCGTTATTCTCACCTGTCTCTGTTTCACAGTAAGATTTGAGCACCTTCATGGTTTGATTCCAGCTCACTTGGTTGCTGTGATTACAGAAAATGGTGTCTTGCTGCAGGTAAACACTTAGAGAGGAAAATTTTTTTGTGGCCTTCAAATTCTTTGCTCCTGCATGAGAGCAGATTTTACCATCACATCTGAAACTACTGCTGATGTTAAAGTCCACTGTGCTGCAGGTCACAGTCAGGTTACAGGAGTCTGAGCTCTTGGACACAGACTCTACTGTCAGTTTGGCAGCAGTCACTGGATCTGGGGAACAAGAGGTGTGAAAGTATTAAAAACAGGCCTATGACGTGTCAACATTTCAAAGTAATAATGAAAATAGAAACCTACCTTGAACTATGACCTTGTATTCAGCTACGCTTTGCTCTTGTTCGCTGACCACAACTGCTTTATAATCTCCACTGTCACTGTGTTGAACATTCTTTAATTTCAAAGAGTAATTTGGTCCAAACACCTCAACCTTTCCTGGATATTCGTTATACACGACTGGATCTCTATTAAAAACACATTTAGCTATATTGTTACTGGAATTAAATCTCCAGAACAAATCTTTCTGTTCGTCAAGTTTAAAAGGTTTCTCTGTATCCAAGCGTAAGTCCTTTCCATGCAGCACAAACACATGTTGGAGACCTAAAAGAAAACAATTAAAATTTTAATTAAGACTTTAACAACACTAATGTCAGAATTGTGTGCATGAAGCTACATATTGAAAAATTTAATATAATGACAACAAGATCACAAAAAATTTATGTGGTATAGTATTTCATTCTCCTGTCCAGAAAACAAAAAACATGTCAGTGTTGACTGTGAGGCAGGCAGAGTCAGACCCAAATGCAGGATTTGAAAACAAGGGAGGTAAACTAAGGCAGTTTTATTGCTGAACTTAAACATAATACAGAATAATGCAGACTGAAAAACAAGGAAAACATAAGTGTGTTGATGCATGTCAATCATCCAGGTAAGGAAATCCCAAAAAGTTGATTCTATTCATTTGGATGCAGCGTTTTTACTGGAAAAAACATTTCATCACTGATCCAAGACTGAAGAAGTAAGTAAGTAAAATGTATTTATATAGCACATTTCACAGATAAAAATCACAAAGTGCTTTACAATAAGATCAGTCATACAAGTTAAAATTAATTAAAAGCCCGTTTGTATAAAAATGTCTTCAGCTGCTTTTTAAAGGAGTCAGTAGAGTCTAGACAGCGTAAAGACAACGGCAGAGAGTTCCACAGCCTAGGTGCCAGTGCCTGAAAAGCTCGATCCCCACGTGTTTTAAACCTAGTACGTGGGACCACCAGTAGCCTCTGACTTGAAGACCTAAGTGCTCGGGATGAAGCATGAGCATTTTGTCACTTGGATGAGTGACAAAATGCTTCTCTTACTAAAACCTTTATATCCAGATGAACAGAATTAAACTTTTGGGTAAATCTATGAGTCTTCATGGAGAACAGACTGCAAGGAAGGACACAACAAAGGACAAGAGGAGACAGAGACGATACATAACAAGGGAAAACACAACAGGTGGGAAGATAACTGAAACAAATAATTAGACACCGGAAGAAGAACAGAAGACATGAGCCAATTGGTCACCAAAGTAAATAAGGAAATGACTAACACTGACCTGGAAACCTGAACTTGACACAGACAGAAGCCAAAGCATGAAAAGAAGTCTGTTCCAGAAAGGAAGACTGGGACAGACTGAAGACAGAAGGGAATTAATATCGTCTAACAAGGGACCAAGAACTCGAATCAAAGCTAGTGAACAGAAGGACCAAGAAACAATATCGCAAACGTTATACAAGGCTCAAACATAGATCACGCTTTAAAAACCAGAAGAGTATTACCCTGGCAGTACCCTGACAGAACATCGAAATAGTGAGAATACAACAGCAATGCCCCTAAATCAAATGCAGCTTTTTATTATTTATTTGTTTGATTATTTTTATTATTGTTTAGTCACATCCAACTGCTTGCTGTCTACGATCTCCAGAAAATGGTGTGGGCTTCACACAGCAGATAAACCTGGTTGTTTGGAGTTACAGGTTACATCCCACGGTATGAATGAATATATCAAACCACATGAAACATATCTATGCAGGGTTGAGACCAGGAAGTAGAGAGGCAGTCTTACATATCTCTCAGCTGCTTACGTCCTCATTAAATGCCCACCAAGACCCCATCCCTACAGACACTGTGTTCTCACAGGCCACAGAATATGAACCAGAAAACAAAATACCCTCAAAATTCATAAATAAAAAATATTCAAAATGATTTCCAATACACCAAAGAGGAAAACTGTTATGTATTAGTTAGTGAATATTTGGTCAAAGTTCATGGTGGTGAGTGATTTTAATAATCAAGTCTTAGTAACTGCCAAAATCCTCAAACACATCTGGAAAACAGAATTTCACTCTAGTTTATACATCAACCAAATACGGAGCCCTGCAAGGGACATGGGAGAAAAAAACATAAAGTTTTGCGAGATCTCGCAAATGTTTTGGCGGCATTCTGGGATAGGTTGGGTTACAAAGGATAAATCGTCATGTCCAAATTCATGGGCCGGCCTTCGCGGTCTATGTGGGTCGGGTCCTCAGAAGGTCAGGCCGGAAGTAAACGGCTGTGAGATTGGACGGTCTAGCCTTCAGATTTGCGTCACCGCTGTGTCGGTGGAGTTTATTAAACTCGACCGTCTGCTCCTTGCTATCTAAAATATAACAGGACACTGGTGTAAATTCTTGACCAATGTTCCCTCTAATGTTTCATGTGTCTGAGCGAACACACAAACTTCTTCTAATTACTTCTTTTAATTAACTGCTTTAGCCCATTTACAATGAAAATTAAAAAAAAAAAATCTTGTGTAGTATGTTAACACTATTGGAAGTAAAAAATAACTTACAGTCCAATTTTGAAAACACAACTTCCTATTTTATTATTTTTTTTATAAAGCTCTGACTAGTATTATGAGTATGAGTCTGTGGTCTGGGAGAGTCCTGTAACTCTCTGTCTGCAAAATACAGTAAATAATGACCAATGTTGGAAAATTAATTATATAGTTACTTCCTCAAAAAAGTTACTGAGTTATGCAAACAACAAAATTTTTTGCAGCTGTTTACCTAAAAATGCAGCCAAGGTGTTTTTTTGATTTTTTTAAATAAACATTTCAAACTATTTACAGAACAATCAGCTGTTCTGCATCAAATTTGATGCCACACAAATTATTTGCGCCACTCCAAAAAATAATTTCTGTCGACTATGCGATAAAGGAGAACATCACAGCCTGATACCTGCAGGCCTGACAACAGGAGATGTATCACTCCTGTAACACCTGTAACATTCAGCAGTCGCCTCATTGTTCTGACACACACAACAAAACTATTGACTACACTACACACTAACTACACAAGATTTGCGCTAAACGTCGCAAATCTGTCACATCTCAAAACACTCCTAAAACTACCCCCCCCCCCCTCCCCTTCCTAAACAACTGTTGCCATATCATTTTTTGATTGGTTGACATGGTACATTTTCCGACCAATAGGAAAGGGTGGGGGTTTTTTGGTTTTGGCTTTTCTCACAGCGAGAGCGCTTTCGAGCGTTTTCCTTATAAAACGCCGTTTTTGCTGTTTCTTCCCGCAGTAAATATAAACAACGATAGTATTCAGGAAGAAAACCAAACATTACATATATTTTTATCATAACTCTGGTTTTACGTGGCCTTTAAAAACTGGTATAAAGTCCACAACATGTACAACCACATCTCCAATGGTTGTACATGTTGTCATTAACGTGGCTTCACTCCACATCCGGTGTCGGCACATGAGGACGCTGTCATAGCCTGTTAACCACGTTGATTAGCTGCGTATATACGAATGTGAATCGCATCATTGGCTGGACTATGGGAAAGGTGGCATCGCTCTAATCCCATACAGGAGCAGCCAGTCACTTAATGACTAACACTGCAAAACTGAATTGTTAAAGTTTTAATTTTAATTTCAATTCAGGTTAGTTTTTTTTTTTTCGTGCGCAACGCAGATTTTCTGTGCGCAGAGACCGTGCCAGCAGTGCGCAATTGCGCACGCGCGCAGCTTAGAGGGAACTGCATCAAGGATTCTCCTTCATACAATTTAGAAGGAATAACCTAAAAAGGAAGTGGCTTTCCAGCAATGTGGAAGACTGTTGTCTGAAAAAAATAATAAAGTAATCATTAATATTCAGGTGGAAAAATAAGAAATAGTCACACATTTCTTTTCAACACTGTACCTTGCTGGCAAAGACTGAGAGCTCTGTTAAGCCTTGTGCTACTTATTATAAAAAATAATTAATCACAGCCTTCCCATATTTATTAACTTCGGATATATTTCTAGACTGCTTCTCTCTCATTGATCTCCCTCAGCTATAACCTCAGTAATTGCTGTTTGTTGGACCTGTTCACATAAGTCTTGCCATTAATTATTGCTTTAGTTTGGTTTTTTTTTGTTTTGCTCTGTTGTTGTTGTTGTGTTTTTTTTTGGGGGGGGGATATGATAAATTGATTATATTCTATTTTTTATTTATCACAGGCGTTTAAGATGGCTGCAAATAAACTCATAAAAGTCCCATTCTCAAAGCCTTGGCTACTTATGGATAAGTGTCATCTTCCTTTAAGAAAATACATAAATAACAAGTTGTTGTAAAAGAGCTATGTGAGCATTTGCAGAGATTCATTATAACACAAAATGGCACTAATGAATGATTCTTTGGCCTTTGTGCTTGTCCTGTTAGACCTCACTGCAGCATGTGATACGGCCGATCCCAACATCTTACCAGAGCAGGGCTCTAGAGTGCAACCAATTTTGTCGCAAATGGGACCTAAATTCTCAATGGTGCGAATAAAAACAAAATCATAGGTCGCACTGGTGCGACCAGCCATTCCAGTTTAAAAAAAAAAAAAGTTTCTGCAACTCTCAAAGTCTCTGTTTGGCCAACAGCAGACAACTTGACCATTTCGTGGCCTAAACCAATTATGAAGGTGCTGCTTAGATTAGCTGAATGAGCCGCTGAAGCGTCGCAGCACCGAATCCGTGCTGCACTGTTCGATCAATTTGTGTGTCACACGTGTCTCTGCACAGATGCGCAGAAAGAGGAAATGACGTAGGCAATTGCCACAACAATCCAAAAGCACGCGACAACAGCTGCACATTCCACCAATGTTCCAATGTTCTACCAAAAAAATCCTAGGTCGCACCACTCTGAAAGTCTCTGTGTGGTCAACAACAGACACACATCATGCCCATATCGTGGCCTAAATTAATCATAGATAGCCAAGGGCGGAACTTCTCAGATGCCCATGACCCATGATAAGATGTTCAGTTCGAAGGCTTTGAAGCATTTTTAATTCTGACTTTCTTTTTATTTTATATATCTTGAGATTTAAGTTTAAATTTCAGCTCAATGAAGCACTTAAAGCACAAGAGTTTTTTAGTACCGTATTTTTTGACAATAAGGCGCACTTGAAATCATTAAATTTTCTCAAAAGGACGCCTTATGTATCAATTCTGGTTGTGCTTACTGATCACAAAGTGATTTTATATGGTACACGATGCTCAATAATCTGTCAAAATGTTTTAGTACGACTTTGGTAAGCTGCGAAGCCGCACCGCTTGACGGATTGTCGGAGCAACATGGCTACCGCAGTCAGGAGCCTCTCAGAGCCGTGCTTCAACATAATATTACCGTATTGTGTGTGCATAAGGACCCCAAAATGGCAGCTGTTAAGAGACATGCTTACGAAGCGGATTTCAAACTCTATCAGTCACGCAGTAGAACATGGGAATAGAAGAGCTGTGAGAGAATTCAACATTAATGAATCAATGGTACAGAAGTGGAGGAAGCAAGAAGAATGAGTTGAGTAAAGTTTTGTTTCGCTTAATGCGTCTTATAATCCAGTGCGCCTTGTGGTCTGAAAAATACGGTAACTTATCTGTCCTGTAGAACTGTGCTCCAAATAAAGAACTTTGTGTTGACAAGATTGTTAGTTAATCATTCACAAATCAATATTGTCTATATAGACAGCAATTTTGTTTTAAAGTGAACATGTAAAACTGCGGTGTTAAGAGATGTAGTTGAATAATTTGGGTGCACCTAACTTCTGTGCTGGCGCACCTAAGAGAAAAAGTTAGGTGCACCAGTGCAACTGTGGCAAAAAGTTAGTCTAGAGACCTGTACTACAGATATCAAAATATAGCAATAGAATACCTACTGCACTGGGTTCATATTTATTTTATATATGAAACACTGGATTTATTTTTATTGTTATGAAGATGATACCCATTTATTGTTAATCGGTGAAAGCAGATCATATCCCTAGCCCTATATGAATGGGGTTACTGTGGTCTCCAGTAACCCAGTATTGCAGTCATTAAAAAAAAACTTAGGACTGCCTTATTTCATCTATGCAATATTGCTAAAATAAGAAACTTCTTGGGTCATTTCAAATAGTCCATTTTGCTTAAGAAGGTCCCTAAATGACTCAAGTGACCTATCTGAGTATCTGTGTGGTGGACATATTAAGAATTGTTTGCTCTGTTCAGTTCCAAAGGAAAAGAAGCTTGAGTGCTTCCTTTATTAATTTATTACTTTAGCAAAGGATGCACTGTGATCATACTTTATGAAATAAGAGGAGAAAATGCAGTCCCATAATTGATAATGTCAGACCAGCTGAGCATTCATGAAAACAAATGATTGGACGGTGGCGCAAAGTAGCACAGATTATTCAAACATTAACTGTAACTCCATATTCAAATTCCTTCCATAACGTGCTAAATGATATAAAAAATTTAAAAACAATGTTAAATTAACGCTGCCGTAATAAAAGCTGCTTGTTGTCAAGTTGTTGTCTTGCATTAACAAGATTGATGTAAGATTTCTAAAATAAGATTAAGATATTTATTAACTGATCAAAGTGTGTTTAAGGCTCAGTATAATACAGTTTGTATCCTCATAAATGCATTTTTGCCTCAGATTAGCTGAGATAAGAGATAAATCAAGAGAAGATTGAGACAGTGAGGTAAATTACTGTGATGCTAAAGTCACAGGGTGATACTAACTTTGAGCCATAATTTAAGGAGAAATAAAATCCAGCCTGTACACGTCAGTAATAACCAGCATTCTGGCATTAGCAGCAAAAATTACTGAATAAAACTCCAGCAGACCCGATAAAGATACGGAAGAGAAAGCGCTCTCTCTGTCTCTCTCAGTGAGGTAATTCAGATCAAGATAGAATCGTTATGTTTTTAATAGAGAAGTAAACCCTTCTCATACAAACTGCTGGGCACTGAGACTCTGGTCGAGCTCAAGATTTGTTACGAGGGGAGCAGCATTATTACAAACTAAGCCACCAAATAAACCTTACAGGCTGACCTGTGCAAAGTGTAGAAGAGGACCAAAAAATTTTTAGCGTCAGCTCATGAGTCTGCTGTTTGTTAATGAAGAAATTTATACTGTGCCTGTCTGACTGGTTATGAATTGGTGCTATAAAAATTAAAAGAACATCTTCTGACAGTCATGCCAGCAAACGTACAGCTGGTTCCACTCAAATGTGTAACAATTCTGAATATTTTTTCAAACAGGGCAAAGGAAATACCGAAATGTGCAGAAGAAAAAAAAATTTTTTCCAACTCGTTGGGTTTTTGCTGTGCAGCAGCAGAAATTCATTTGACACAGAGACAAATATAATATACATATAATATGCACAACATACAGCCAGACATACAGATACTGATATGAAACAGAAAAGATTATTTTATTTTTCATTTTTTCATAAAGTTTATATTTGTAGTATTTCCAGTATCTAGTGTACAGAGTTATGATTCATTTGTGTTTCTACGTCATATTTTAAGTACATACTACATTTGAACGACTGTATTATTTCAAAGCAATGTTGATAATATTGAGTAGATTATCCTAGTAAGGCAGTATTGATATGTTATTGTTCCCCCCATGCCCCAACAACAAATGTGAGCAGATATTCACACTACTAAATCAACATCTCAGTAGAAACTAAATTTACTGTATCATTTTGAATTTTATTAGCATCATGACTAAAATAAAGGCATTACTGAAAACAGCATTTTTGTTATTTGATTTGTATTGTGTAAAGTTCTTTAAAAATAACAACACAGTAGCTGTGAAAAAAGAACAAGTTCTTACCTTGTACTTCTATTATGTAGAACAAAAGTAGCGCAAACAAGACTACACCACGAGTCATGATTCTCTCAAATGATCAATGAGGAAGCAGCATAACGTTTTGACAAACCAGACTTCCTGTCAGCTTTTCTTTCCTTTTTTGGGTTGATTTAATGTTTATTTGTTTTTAGTTTTTATTAAAAAAGTTTCAGTGAGAAATAAATAGTTTAAAGAGGCTTTTCCATTATAATTGTTAACAAGATGAGCAATGAAAGGGTTATTTTCAGTGTTGTAAGCAATACAAATGTATATTTGGCACGTGTCAGTGCTTGAAATGACATCAAAGAGAGACAAAGACATCCAACTAGACACCCACCCCCTTTATGACTGAACCAAAGAAAAATGATCATGTCAAGCTGCGTTTGGTAGATGTGTTACAAATCTGTAAACATGCTGATAAATTTATGTTAGGGTTTCAGTAGGATGCAGCTGGGGTTAACATAGTATCAGTAAGACTTAAACCTCAATTGCAGTTTCATTTGAAGTCTTCCAGTCTAAACAGATGGTTCCACATGAGCATAGCTGACTAAGACCTATACACAATCATTTTAATTATGTATATCAGAGGCAAGAAACGCTGTTTAGTAGTATGTGGATTAATAAACTGACTAAAATAAGAGCATATCTGTCACAGCTAATCATATAACTGGAAGACTCACAACAGGCTCAGAGATAAAAATGTTTACAAAAGGCAGGAAAGTACAAAATGAGATGAGAATTCCCTGACAAGCAGCGGAAAGTCCACATGGTGCGAGATGTTTCCTAGAAGAGTGAGAGTCTTCCAGAGATAGTTTCCAGGGTGGTACAAGTTCAAGTGGGTCAAGTGGTGTACAAGAGGAGGATGAAGAAAACCAAAGATAAGATTAAGTCACTAAGCTGGTCTTTAAAGACACTTTACACTCATAATGTGAAGGAAGTATTACAAAACATGTATTTTTCATCCTATTCAGATCCATTAAGCTCATGGATCACTTCATTTCTAACTATTACTATTCCACATTCTCACATCCCAGCACTCCCCTGTGATGTATCCTACTGTTCCACTTTTTGTGTGATTTGTACACTAAAAAAAATAAGGGGATCCAACAAAGTGATCACAGAAGTGTTCAAGGAATAGTAGGCTACTGCTTTTTACATAAAGGAGAGTTCCTTTAATGTTTGTGCATATCTGGACATATTAATATTATTAAAGCTACAGAGACATTCAAAAAACTGTTACAGTCTGATTTGTTAAAAAAAAATTAATCATTTGTTTTTTAAAACTAACAATTCAATCATTTTCAGTGTTTGAGTGCTTTTAGTAGACTCAAAATTTAACACACATTCACCTTAACCTTTCAAGATGCAAATTTACATCACATACATAAAGTGCTATGTTCTGAAGCAGCAACAGCAGTCACGCATGACAGAAATCATGAAATACAAATACCATTACCAACATACAGGTCATACTGAACACAAAACGTATCAGCTTTGTCTACTTTTCAGTTGTAGTGCTACATTTAATTGAACTATTACAGTACATGTTTGGGTTTTTACCAGGAAATATAAAATATATTACTCATTTAGAGGAAATCGGGGGTAGGGAGGGGTTGCAGGAGGCAGAAAAACTGCTTTTACTCCTGTTTTACTGCAAAAACTCAGAGTCATATGACCTTTGTACATAAATGTTTACATGTAACAGGGTATGTATTTTAAACACACATTTGCATACATTTTAGGCGTATTATACACGGTTCAGTGCTTCTACTTAAGTGGGCGGGTGTTTCCATCTCACTTCGTCATAATAACGTCTCCAAACCCACTCTTTATTCTGCTCTACTTTGGAAAAAATGAAAATTAAACACCACTGTCTCACACCTTTTTGTAACTTGGTTAGTGCCCACTGAGATTTCCATCTTCTTTACTTGATTTTTGTATCATTTGTATTGTAGTTTTTTGAGTTAAAACTGTATGTAGTGTATGTGAAGTGAATGGACTTGTGCCGTGATCAGATGTAAAGAGCTGTAGTTATGACGTTATTCCTTCATATGAATACAGTCAAGTGAGTGTATCTATATATATCATACCCAGCAAGCATATGACAATAACATACTCCACATGTTCATACAGTAGTCAACATTAATCTGTTCTGTTCATCGATATGATGTTTCACTGATTTGTTATTTACACTGAACTTGGCGACGTCTCCTGTTGCTTTTTAAACCTTCTGGTTTATACTCTTCACACGTTGCTGATGCGAACACTCAGAGGAGCGTCCCTGACCCGACCTCGGTCCTCTCCTCGTTGTTCCCTGTAGCTCTGCTCCAGACGAATCTTCTCTGGATCAGTCACCTCAGGTACAGTCCCCCCTCCATTGCTCTGGTACCCGTGCTGGGGGCTGGATGGCTTAAAAATGGGGGCGGTCTTGGTCTTGGCCACTTTGTCGAAGAAGGCAAAGTCTGCTACATATTTCCCTGAGGGAGACAGGGAAACTACAGGGGGAAACTCGTAGCCCCAGAGGATCTCATCTGGCAGGTAGGAGGTGCGAACCTGACAGGTGGCGGAGGTTGGCTCCACGGTGGCGCTCATGATCACCAGCAACTCAAAGTCAGCCAATTCTGGGTCAGTCCAGCCACCACCTGAAGAAGGTACATACAATGGAAAGAAATGTCACATTAAAGTTAAAGACCAAGAATATCCTTAGGACAAAATGGATGAAAGAAAGTTATAAAGATATTTCACTTAAAGACTCACAGTTAAGGTTTTTAACCACTAGTAGTGCTCTTAATTTGTGTTATTATGAGCATTTTGTGTGTATCTTCTTTTAATTGGAGATCATGTATCGGAATTTCAGGAGCGGGACCACGCCTCCAAACACGCTCCTTCTGGTTGTCATCTCTATGGGTTCCCCCAGTTCTGCAAGCTGTTCATTCTCGTTGACGTGCCCCACCCTCCCTCCCTCCTTGTTTTCGATTCTTAACTTCTTCACTTCTATTTAGTACATGGAGATCTGCCAGGCCCGGGAGCCATCGACAGTCCCCTTCGAGGCCTTCCCCAAACCGCAGCTCAATTCATGTCCAAGCATCACCTTTACCTACTAAAACGCTGTCAAACCTAAAATGAGGACATTGGCCCAGCTAGTGAATCTTTATACAGATGAAAACTGGGGTTAAAAACAAGTGTCCATGCAGATAAAGAAGTAATGGAGACAGAACTGTCATCAGCTTTACAGCCATTTAATTACTGGAAGGACATCACCCATGGTCTGGTTGGGAATCAGAGACCATGTTGTTTCATTTCACATTTCTTTTTTTCAGATGAAGAACTGAGACAGTTTTGTTGCGTTTTCAGTGAAACAAAACTATGTCTCTGCTGGAAGTACTGTTAAAATTCTCCAAATGATCATCTGTTTTTAAAAAGCTGGTTTTATTTAGGCTCTATTTAATAGGTGATCAATAAATAACTATAATGTGGCTCATGAACTAAAATGAGTGTGAGACCCCTGAAGAATGTGACATAGTTACTACATTAACAAATACAGCATCAAGCAACATGTAAAACATTAAGCTAGTGGCTTCATTTTTTAAAGTCTTTTTTTAATCTTTTGACTTCACAACCAAAAAGAGGAAATTTATTTCTGCATGAATTCAATTTTTGTGAACCTAGTCATGACATTTCTCAGAAACTGAAGCTATTTTTAACAGTTCATTACTAGGCTTATTAACTAACTACAATTTGTGGAAAGCAGGCCTATTGTTAAATTCTCCACCTACACCAGAAAGGGAGGAATGAGGGATGATGTTTTTCTCTATAACACAAGTGTTGCTGAAAGCATTTGCCTTTTCCTACCAGCACCTTGGAAGGAGGTAAAATTGTGCTAGAAACCTTCAGGGTCAGATGTTTGTATGACAGAGGAATGAGACACAAAGGTCAAAGAAATCATTCTGATGCAGTTTGTGACACCACCCACCGAGTCTACTGCTCTCATCGCTAAACTTACCCTTGGCTGCCCAAGCTCTCAAGGGACTGTTGTCATCGATGACATGGTAGAAGGTAAGGGGCAGGATGAGGAAGGGGCTGTCACTGGAAGTGTCCACTTGAAAGGGGACATTTCTCTGATCCAGACGAACCGTCTCCCCTTCCTTGGTCAGAGACGTCTGGAGCAGTTTTCCAGTCACCTGATAGGAATATTGTGCACATGTTGCTTTAGTTCAACTGGTTCCCAGTTTGACAAATTTCTCATTCACACTAATCTATGACCTCTAAACCTATTTTTATTGTCTAGTCTTTACAAGTATGGAGTGTGTTACGGCTGTCTTCGTGGGCTGGGGTTCTGACATATAAATGTGACTGTGCAGGTGTGCCTCCAGGAGTGGTGGATCCTGAAGATGGTGTGCCTGGATTGGATGATGATCTGGAGGCGGGGTATAAGATGACGCGGTTGAGGATGGCAATCCATCCATCCTCGGTTTTACCCTCAACCAGCTGGGGTTGCGACATGCCCTGTGTTGTTTTGTGAATCCAGCAGGAAGTAGGGGTGGACCGCCTTTGCAGTTGGGCACAGTTTTCTCATGTTTTGTTAGTCAGCGAAGTAAGTGATTGTTGTTTGGTCATGTTTCTTTGGGGCTAGGCAAGCAGTCGCTCCTCTGAGTTAGTTTCCTTTTGTCTGCTATTTTGGCGTGGGTCCACCCCGAAGCCTGAGTGTCTCCTGTGAAACCCATTTTTGTTTTGTTCTTGTAAATAAACCATCTCTTATTTTAACTTATGGTGTGATGTGCTGCTTGGGGTCGAACTGGGGGTGGATCATTCCTCTTGACCTGCCGTAACAAGTGGAACTTTTCTCAGCTACTGTATACTTAAAGTATCTGCATGCATACTTGCCTGACACCCAATCAGGAGACTTTTGCGCATGTTGGCCACCCGGATCATGAGGCAGGGGCGGCCCTCGTGGGCGGATACCACAGCATGTTGGCTAAACTTCACTGTCTCACCGCGCTTCTTTGGCCGGGCAACCTGATCAGGAGGAACTTGGTCAGAGTCATCTTTGTTAATGATTATTGAGTAAACCTGCAGCTCACATGTACACTGCAGTGTTGTTTTAGTCAAGACAACTTCTGCTTTTTTTTTTTTTTTAAAATGTTTTCAAAACACAAATTAAGACCTGCACGGCTTTGTTGATACAAGGCACTTGTCTCTTTTCATTGCATCTTACATGGATATTTCATTTGTTGGCTACCTTGGCCAGAAAGGTACCGGTGATGAAGATTTCCATGAGCATGGTGATAACCAGTTGAACTATAAGAAGGATTATGGCAGCTGGACATTCCTCAGTGATGCAGCGAAAACCGTATCCAATGGTTGTTTGGGACTCCAGGGAGAAGAGGAAAGCCCCCGTTAGCGTCTGCATCTGCATCACACAGGGCGTGTGGTTTGATGGAGGGTCAAACTCTGGAGGAAAATGTTTAAAAAAGCATCAAAAGCTCTTTTAAGTAATTCTAAAATATAAAAATAAACACTTTTGTTATTATTTGCTTTTTAGTTTTATACACATTATTATGGAACAACAGACCAGAATATTTAAAGTCTGGCTAAAAAAGGGATTTTGCTATTAAACACACTGTCTGCTGAGACACGAGTAACATCAGCGGAAGAGGGGGAGAGGCGTGTGTTAACGAAAACTAAGATAGAATAAAGATATGATATAGTTGCCAGATTATAGCTAAAACTTCACTTTAACCGCAAGATAAGTTCAGTAAAAAAAAGAAACAACAGCCTCTGCATCTCTTTACAAGCCTCCTATAACATTCACCCTCACTGCATATGCATCCTGGTTAGCACAAAAAGTAAGGAAATTAGTTAGTTATTTTTTTTGTTTAACAATGCTTCTTGGCAATAGATCTGTTAGATTTGTAAGTAAAATGCATTATTAAATGCATGATTAAATTTAAATTCAAACAAATAACAAAATATAGAGCAATTAAACTGAATAGCACTGGCAGCTTTAAGACAGGAGAAGGCATGATCACATCACCCCTGTCCTAGCTAACTTACA